ACGGACGAAAATCGGTGCGCGCGCAGGATGTCATCCATAAAATTAAAAAAGTGTGGCCTAAACTTTAATCGCTTTAAAGATTTCACGTGCAACGAGAACTGCCCGAATTACGTGTGTGCCTCTTAGAGTGATTCACATAGATTTAGATCGATCCATCTAGATCGACCTAACTCCCTGGGGTTCACGCTAAATTGCAATCAGCCGAGCGGGCACCATAGTTAATTACCCCCTTACAGCTTTTAGTAGGCGGGACAGACGCTTAAGCCGACTAAGCTGAGAGTAATCTAGTGAGACTCCCCACAGGGATAGATCGATCTAAAAATCTATGGAAATGGGGTGTTACTCTCTGACCATAGGGCCCGCTAGTATCGGTAGTCTGTTACAAAATAATTGTATTCTTCAATCTTCTATACTATTTCAGAGGCCACTCTGATATCAGAATACACATTGTACGTGGTTCTCATTGGGATTATTCTGTGGACGTAGCAGATAAATCGAGTGCAGAGATTAGTATGTGACTCTGTTGTTCAAACAGCAGTGGAATCCGATAAGGGGAGCAGTTTATCAGTCTGATCGTTGATCTATTTGAAATGTGACGTTAGGTCGACTGCACAATATGTCATACATGTAGCACAAAGAGTGGTGAAACTAGTGACACACTGCAGTTGCTACACAGGGACTCATTCCAGTCGTTCACATGTCCTTAGATGACCGAAATTAAGGCCGCCCTTTTTTAAGGTCGACAAGGTAAAGGCTAGAGATAGCCCAACAATCCCAGACGGGTCGGAGCCGAGGAACCCCTAACTACGTGGTCTACTGGGATTGATCGACATGTCTGAAAGGACAAACCGAACGCCGGTCAAATGTACAGACAGTATTAAAGTGACAATTTGGTAAAAGACACTTTAAGACCAAGGATGCGAAAGTCCAGTGCAGTAAAACCGACTAGAGGAAGATCATAACTCTGTCATTCGAGCGCTGTTATTTAAACACCCCGAACACGGAAGTTGTGTTGATAATACTAAGGTCAATGCACGGCGGGCAAATTTAACGCAACACTCCATGCTAAAGTAGACATTACAAGCGTTGGACTGACATACTCTCATAATGTTAATGGCTGAGAAGAATCTTAACAATAAGCAAATATTTCTCTACCAAGGATTATAACAATTCCACTGACACTACTGAATACAAAAATAAGCAGAAAAGCCCTCTGACTTGCAATTTGGCACCCTGTGTAAAAAGGGAAAAAGAGGGCGGAGGAGTTTCACTGCATAGTGACCGCTGGAGACGTGAGGCTATGTTCCGCAGGGTGGCCACTCGGTTCTCCCACGGGACCCACTGGGACCTGGGGATGGTAATTTATCACGAGAAGATGGTCTCTCAGTCCCTGCGTAAAATGATAGAAGCTAAGAGACAAGGTAGGGTTAATAGGCAAACAAAGACCGCTAAAACTTTATAGACGGAACAAAAGTTTAAATTTTTTAATTGAAAATTTCACCACTTTTACAATTTAATCAATTTAATTTTACAATTTAATCAGCGTTGTATATCATATTCAAAACCATTCCTAGAGTTACGAGTTCTGCCTTTCTAGTTTTGAATCACGTACTGTTGTAATGGAAATAGAGACTTACTACGTTCATTCGTGACGGCAAATTATGCTGAATATAGTATATTAATCTTGATTGATCATAATTTGTATTGCTAATTACCCTTCTGTAATGTGTTCTCTTCCTACAAGTATGGGATATTTCGAAAGCTAAAGACGTATTCATTTTTCTCTATTCTGCTGTGACAGTTTTCACATTAAGTAATGATAGAGAAACAGATAAACGCAGTGAAGCACATTAGAAGTTATCCTGTGTGACAAATATAATCTGATCAGAATGACAGGTTAATTGTACTATTATTCCTGTCAGCGTAATTAAAATAAAATATTGTCCAGCAAAACTTGTACTAAAGGGTGATAGTGTTTTTTTATATCTGAAAGATGAGCTAATCATGTTGCGTCTGTCTTTTTTTAACCTTATCCCAACCAATCCACTGATATTCTGTTGAAATATTCCATACTTTGTAACAAGAATTTTGGCCGGTTTCATAGCGTATATATAAATTTTATGTTCAGTGTAAAGCCTATAAATATGATTTATAATAATCAACCCTTTTCACTGACAAATTCTGGGGATTTCTGGGCTGGGAAGGTTTCGCTCGGCAAATAAAAAAAAAACTTTGTCGAAAATAATTTTACTATAATATATAAGGTCCGAAGGATGGTCATATTGCCTGGTTTTTGTGTGGCTTGTTAAACTTTTTGGAGGCGAGTAGAGAGGTACCTCCTCCTTATTATTTTTTTTTTGGGGGGGGGAGGGGAGGAGAAGGCGTACACGTGGTCCACTTTGCTCCCTGGCCCTGTCATTCAGTTTCTATCTATTTACATTCAAGCGTCCACACACCTTGCTAAATGGCTGAAGAGTGAGGCCAACTCTGGACTGAGAGATTTGTTCATGACGATGTACGAAGTAGACACGCTGTGGACAGAGCTGCTTGATAACTATATGGAACAGGTAAGGAAACAGGTGCTCCCCCACATCCCTTTGTTATCCCTACACCCCCATTGTTATCCTTTCACCACCCCCCTTGTCAGCCTCTCTCTACATACCCCATTGTTACCCCTCACCCCTTTTTATCCTGTCCCCACACCCCTATTTTACCCCCTCATCCCTACCGCCACCTCTTTCAGCCGCACAAAGACAAAATAGACCATATAGGCCTATCGAAACAAACAAACACACGAATAAATAAATAAATAAACATGATCCTTGTCACCCCGTGTTTTTTGTTCAGAGTTACTATAGAATCATGTCATATAACAGCGTGATTCGGAACCAGAAGGCCAATTACTGCATCTGCATATACGATACACTGTATATACTGTACACGTGAAAACTGAGGGAACAAGGTGTTAAAGCTCTCAAGCACTTTTCATACCTAGAAGCCTCTAATCACGGAGGAACCCCCTTCACCCGCTCTCCCTTCTCCTCCCCCCCCCCAAAAAAAAAATAAAATAAAATAAAATAAAATAAAATAAAATAAAATAAAATAAAATAAAAACGAACCGAGAGAAATTCAAGCAATTCTTTTCATACCTGTACCATCAGTAATGTTAGCCTTGCCCACTATTTCGTATTTTTATCCTCCCCCTTCCCCCTAGCAAAATTAAACCCCTGGAGCTATATGTACCAGCGTACTACTAAAATATAGTGTCAAAGCAGGATTTTAAGGTAAGGGAATGGTTAGGGTAGGTGCACAACACACATTTGTATTGCCCGCGGTACTCATCCAGGCGCTGGAGAAAGTATGTGACTTGTAGTAGAGAAAGGGTTGACAATTTAGATAATACGTATTTTTAAAACATCACTGGGGAAGGGGCAACTGCTTCTGTTTCCGCAGCCTGCGACCTACAATTGGCTTGTAATGTTTCTTTAAAAAAACCTTCATGTCAAAGTGTGTGCGTTTATGTATGTACGTGTGTGTGCTTATTAACTGTCGTTCGTATGTGTTACAATTGCTATACATTTAATCCATTATTGTACTTGCGATATCTTGATTAGAAACCATGTTATCAGGTATTATGATTCAGGCATTATCTAGATTACAAGTATATGAAATAATAAGATAGGAGATTGTTGGAGCACAGTATGCCAATGTGCGAGTTAATATTGTCCACGCAATAATAGCTGGTATATTCTACTTCGCTGATGCTTAAACGTATATAAATCATTTATCGTCTAATAACTCTCAATGACCAAAATCACTTCATCTTCAAGCATCAAAATAATTTATTTATAAATTACAATGAGTCGATGTACAGACAGTACAATATTACATAAAAAATCCTCTGCTCCATCACCAGTCATTGCAGTAAGAGCTCCCGCATAGCCGAGTTCCAATTCTGGTACAGTTCTTACTTATATAATTCTGATAATTTTACAACGCATAAGAAACCCCTTATTTTTGTACAAATGTTTTTATACAAAAACTTTTATTAGGAATAAATTGGAGAAACAGTGTCCGTATTACTATAGAAGCGCTGATCGACCTCGAATGATCGTTTCCCCTTCTCACGTGATTAGTTTTGGGTTTTAGGTCAATGGCACAGAACCGTGTCTGATCCACAATACAGGATCGTCGAAAATCGGTCTCCGGAGAGACGATCAAGTTGCGTTTTACCAAAAACTTTCAATGCCGCTCACCTGTTTTTTTCTTTTCTTTTAAGAGTGCCCCTAAATCACTGTATGGTTTTCATGATAGTGATGTTTACTTTCACTGTAAATTAATAGTTTATTGAGCTGAAACCCATTTTTTTGCATCCTCAGTTGAACGTACATGAATTATTAACAAAAGCATTTTTATGAAAAATTAAAGGCTGCTACTCTCTTCTTGAAGGATATCGTGATAAATGGGTTGTATTATGGTGTCTTTAGCATTAAGGGAGAGCTTGATAATGGAAAAGAAACAACAAAAATCTGTTCAGCATCTTTGTTTAGATATTGTATATTAGTGTCTGTGTGATTTTTTTTTATTTGGAATCTTTTCCAGTACGAACATTATAGAAAACAGTTCAAAGAAATTTTAACGGAAACCAAAGAAGTTGACGAAGCCAGGAAAAATTACTTGGAGCTCAAAGGAAAAACAAACAAATTGGAGAAACAGGTACTTGAATACCTAATTCATGTCATTATGGTTTAAAATATGACAAATTAAAATTTATTATTCAGAATTTTTTTACAAAGCATTTCAATTATTACCATTAGTGCGCATGTATATATCACGGAGGTTGAGCAATTCTTGTGACATTTTAAATTAAAATTAATTAAAATGACACGTTTACGCACGAATTCAGTATAATGAATCAATTGATGCTGATGATAATATGATTCTTGCATTTTGTATAAGGCGGATCCGGGGTGGAATGAGTAGGATTACTGTTTTGCCGTGCTAATTGGTATATACTGTAGTAGATACATGTACATGTAGATGGCGAGTGATATTTGACTGTTACTAAATGAGCTATTTATAGGGCACTGGGGTATCCTTTTTTGAGGGGGGGGGGGGACAAGAGCGAGGAAGGGGTTTCTCCGAAGCTGATTGACGAGTGTGTGTGTGTGTGTG